CCCTGTATACCCATTTCAGTTAGAATTTTTATCACAAATGAATGTTGATTTTTATCAAATGCTTTTTCGGCATCTATTGAGATGATCATGTGGTTTTTGTCCTTTTTCTTGTGGATGTAGTGTATCACGTTGATTGATTTGCTTAAGTTGAACCATCCTTCTGTCCCTGGGGTGAACCCAGCTTGATCATGGTGTATGATCTTTTTTGTGTTGTTGGATTCTGTTTGCTAATATTTTGTTGAGGATTTTTGCATCTGTGTTCATCAACGATATTGGCGTTTAGTTTTCTTTCTGGGTAGTGTCTTTGTCTGGCTTTGGTATCAGGGTGATGGCGGCTTTATAGAATGAGTTTGGGAGTATTCCCTTTTGTTCAGTCTTTTGGAAGAGTTTGAGAATGACTGATATGAGTTCCTCTTGGTATGTTTGATAGAATTCCCCAATGAGGCCATCTGGTCCTGGATTTTGTAGGGAAGCTTTTTATTGCTGATTCTATTTCACTTCTAGTGATTGGTCTGGTCAAATGATGTTCTTTCTGTTTAATTCAGTTTTGGTGGACTGTATGTTTCTAGAAACTTGTCCATTTCTTCTAAGTTGTCCAACTTATTGCCATATGGTTGTTCATAGTATTCTCTTATGATTTTGTATATTTCTGTGGTGTTGGTTAATTTCTCCATTTTCATTTCTTATTTTATTTATTTGTGTCATCTTTCTTTTCTTGGTGAGCCTGGCCTGAGGTTTGTCAATTTTGTTTGTTTACTCTTTCAAAAAAAACCAGCTCTTGGTTTGAATGACTTTTTTCTATTAATTTTTCAATCTCTATTTTATTTGCTCCCTGATCTTTATTATTTCTTTCTTTCTTCTGACTTTAGGTTTTGTTTTTTCTTTTCTAATTCTTTTAGGTGGTAGGTTAGGTTATTTGAAATTTTTCTCATTTTTTGAGGAAAGCCTATATCACAGTGAACTTCCCTCTTAGGACTGCTCTTGCTGCATCCCATAGATTTTGTGTGGTTGTGTTTTCATTATTATTTGTCTCAAAGTACTTTTTAATTTCTTCTTTGATTCCATCATTAATCCTTTTTTTTTAATAGCATGTTTTTTAGTCTCTATGCTGAAATTTTTCTCATTTGTTTTTCTGTGATTGACTTCTAGTTTCATGACATTTTGGTCAGAGAAGTTGCTTCAAATAATTTCTATCCTCTTAAATTTGTTGAGGCTTTTTTAGTGCCCAAGTGTGTAGTCTATCCTACAGAATGTTCCATGAGCACTTGAAAGAATGTGTATTCTGTTTTGGGGGGATGTAATGTCTTAAAATTATTAACCAAGTCCAGTTATTCTATTGTGTCATTTAGTATCTCTGTTGCCTTGTTGATTTTCTATCTGGGAGACCTGTCCAGTGATGTTAGTGGTGTGTTAAAGTCTCCTACTTATTGTACTCCCATCAATACAAAATTCCCATTAATTTCTCTTTATATCTGTTAGTATTTGTTTTATATATTCAGATGCTCTTATAATGAGTGTAATAGCCTCATCTTGTATTGCTCCTTTGATCATTATATATTGTCCTTCTTTATCTTTTCTTGTGGCCTTTGTTTTTGTCTGTTTTGTCTGAAATCAGAATTGCTATTCCTGGTTTCTTGTCATTTCCACTTCCACTTGTATGAAATATATTTTTCCATCCTTTCACTTTTAGTCTATATGTCGTTCATTCTAAAGAGAGTGTCTTGTAGGCAGCATATTGTAAGCTTTTGTTTTATTATCAGTCTGCTACTCTGTGTCTTTTGATTGGAGCATTTAGTCCATTGACATTTCTAGTAACTACTGATACATATGTGTTTATTGCCATTTTGAACTTTGTTTTCCAGTTGATTTGGTATTTCTTCTTTTCCTTTTTGTTTTTCTTTTTGTGGTTTGATAAGTTTTTATATTATCTTGGTTTCTTTTTGGTTTTTGTGACTCTTATTGTATGTTTTTAATTTGTGGTTACCCTGTTTTTCAAGTATGTTAACCCTTTAGTGTTTATTTTTGCTTTAGACAGTCAGTCATGTAGGCTTCATCCTAAGAAGAATGAAGGGGAAAAATAGAAAGAAAAACTGAAAAAAAAATTTTTTCTTGCTCCCCCCTCACCCTTTGTGATTTTGATACCCTTTTTTTTCTTTTTATATCTTCATGTTTATTCTCTTGCAACTCATTGTTATCATATTTCCAAGTATGGTTTTCACGTTTCTATAGCTTCCTGCTTCTTTTCTATTTAGAGTAGACCTTTCAATATTTCTTTTAGCATAGATTTAGTCGTGCTGAATACTTTAAGTTTTCGCTTGTCTGTGAAATTCTTTCTCTCTCCTTCTATTCTAAAGGATAGTCTAACTGGATAGAGTATCCTAGGTTGCAGCTTTTTCTTATTCAGGACTTTGAATATCTTGCCACTCCCTTTTGGCCAGCAGTGTTTGTGTAGAGAAATCAGCTGAAAGCCTTATGGGGGTTCTCTTGTAACCAATTTTTTGTTTTTCTCTTGCTGCCTTTAGAATCATTTCTTTAATTTTGGCCTTAATATTATGTCTTGGTGTAGGTCTGTTTGGGTTCTTCTTGTTTGGGACCCTTTGTGCTTCCTGTACTTGGTTATCTGTTTCATTATTTAGCTTTGGAAAGTTTTCAGTCATGATTTCTTCAAACACCTTTTCAATCCCTTTTCTCTTTCTTCTCCTCTGGGATCCCTACTATGTATAGGTTGGCACGCTTTATATTATCCCATAGATCCCTTATATTGCTTTCATTGATTTTTATTTGCCTTTTTCTCTTCTGTTCTGATTGGATGACTTCCATTGTCCTGTCTTCTAAGTCACTTTTTCTTTCCTCTGCATTGTCTAGACTGCTTTTGATTGCCTTTTGATTGGCTCTTATCTTTGATACTGAGTTTTCTGTTTTAACTGGATCATCTTTATAGTTTCTATTGCCTTTTTAAAGTATTCTTTGTCTCTGTTCATGGTCCCTTTTAATCCCTTTGGTGCTTTGATCACTCCCTTCTTGAAGTCCTGATCTAGTAGACCATTGAAGTCTGTTTCACTGATCCTTCTTTCAGGGGATTTCTCTTGTTCTTTTAATTGGGAGTAGTTCATCTGCTTCTTCATTTTACTTCATATTTCTCTGGCTCTGTGGATTTAGGAATGTCAGTTACCTCCTGTGGTCTTTAAGGGCTGTTTTATTTTTGTTTGTTTGTTAAAGTGGGATCATTCCCATGTAGGCTGTGCGCATCTAAGTTTTGTTGAGAGGGCTGTGTTAGTATGGATGGTTGCCACATCGTTCTTCAGTGTGTGTTGGCTGTTATCCCTTTGATTGGGGGTGTGGTTGGTGCTGTGGTGATCAGAGTCTGCCATGTTTGTTGTTGTTGAGTGGGGGCCCCTTTATTGTTCTGTGGTTGTCACAGCCTTGACAGGGGCTGGGTCTGCTCCCCTCTTGCTGGAATAGAGGCTTTTAGACCAGTTTCTGAGCTGTGCTGCGTGGTAGGCAGGGTTGGAGCACTTCAGCTGGGAAGAAGAGTCACTGAGTGTACCTCTGCAGGAGATGTCCACTGGGAAGTGCCCTCTGTGGTGGTGTCTGTCACTTGTTATGTGGGCTTACAAAGCACTCTTTGTTGACACTGCCTTTGTCCCTGCCTCAGCTGCAGGAATGTCAGCCACCCTCTCTGGTGTCCCCCAGGTTCTTGGCCCCAGGAAAGACCAGTGCAGATCGGCCAGTATCAGGCACTAGGTCCTGCCGTAGGGAGCACGCAGTCACACACCTGAATCCATGGTGCACCACAGGGTCATTGCAGACTCCAGCCTTGCCTTTGTGTATGGTACGGCTCACTGGCCTGCTGTAAATACCCAAATTTGCCCCCACTGCATGCCAGAACTTTGTGCCTGTTTGTCCCAGAGGTGCATGTCCACCAAGGGTCCAGAGAGAGAAAATCAACCCTCTCTTCCTGAGGTTGTAAACAAATCTCAGTCCCACCTATGAAGTTGCAGAGCTGCTGGTTATGGATTCAGCTTTCAGCCCAACTCTGCACAGCAGTGATGGCTATGACCAAGCCCTGCCTCTCTTCTCAAAAGAATACACCAACAACGGAGTCAAGGGGAGGAAGCAACTGGTGTGGCTGTGTTTCACCCCTCCCTGCAACACACACCATTAGAGGTGCTTTTTTATGGGGGTCCCAGGCTGTTCTCTTCCACACACACACCCAGAGCTCACACAACCCTCCAGTCCCCTAAGGCTGCCTCAGCTTGGCCTTGTCACCAATCTCCAGCAGCCAGTGTCAGTTTGTCCTTGCTGACTCGCATCTAAGGCTGGGGACTAGGGACCCTCCATGTCAGTTTCCCTTAATTCTGTCTACCTAGCAGCTGCCATTTTCTCCTTTGAGCCTTAAAAGTTCCACTTCTGTCCACACTCACCTCCGGCTGGAGAGGGGGTGTCCCAGCCTGAGGGTGCCTTCCTTCCTATGCTGCTCCCTCCCTGCCTGCAGAACTGGTCCTGCACCAATATTTTCTTTTTTTTTTTTTGGGCTTACCAGATTTTGTGAGAATCCTCTTGTATTTTGAAGTGAGAGACACTCTAACTGCCAGAGATCAGTAGGTATTCTGTGCAATTCAGTGGGTTTGTAGATGTAATTCTTGGTGTATTTGTGGGAGAGGGTGAGCTGTGAATCTCTCTACTCTGCCAGCTTGGCCTTGGTCCACAAAGGTGTTTGTTTTTTGTTTTTTTGTTTGTTTGTTTGTTTTGATAAATACTACACATACTACAGTACTGTAAGATCTGTGGTTGGCTGATCTGTGATGCAGAGTTATGGGTATGGAGGGCTAACTGTCTTTAAGTGTCATAGTTACCCTTGAAAGATTGTATTTGAAGTTGCTGTTCCGTAAGAGTTCTTGGCAGCCAGTAGCCAGTTGAGACAAAAAGGAAAAGGGTCCTTCTAACATGATATTAATATGATGAGCACTTCAAAAAAATCATCATACACCTTTGGGAAATAAGTCGAGGTATGATTTATTTATGACATATTTACATACGTACAAAATTGGTTTTATCCAATACATCATCCTACATAGTGTCTTTTTAAAAAAGTATATTCTGGGAGTAAAAATCCAAGTTTTTAAATTTATGCATAACCCAGCATCTTTTAGAGCAAAGGATACTATCATTTTGGCTTCAGAGAACACAAATTCCTGTTCAAATTTTTTTCTAACCAAGGAACAAAGTAAGTTCAGCATCTTAAACTAAGTTAGTTGACCCTGAGTAATGACTAATTTGCATAATGTTGAATTGATGTACATGATACACTTTCATCTGTATTCTTGTCTGTTTATATTATCATACTACCATTTTGTCTACATCCATTCATCTCAATTTTCTGCCTCATTAATCTCTTGAGAGAAAGAAGAACAAAGAATGAGGAAGTACTCAACAGAGACTCAGGAGACACAGCTACTGGTATTGTGTCATGCTTTCCCCCTAGAATTCTGAGGCCATGCTCTGCACCCAAGGTTACCTAATGAACTTACTAACAGGACAATATTGAAAACTTTGAGTACTTTCTGTCCCTGAGTATGATGTTAAATTACTCTTCCTGCATTTTTTCCCCATTCTTTCATACTGCTTACTTAAAAGAAAAAAAGTGTACAAGCTTATCAAATTCAGTACATGGTTCTGGGAGCACTTCAGAAGAAAAACAACACAAACATAACCAAAACAATAGTGGCAAAGAACTGTGATAGAGACAGATTGTCCCAAGAAGCTTGAGGGGGCAAAAATAACAAATAGCCCCCAGCTCAGCTCTCCCTAAAAAATGATTGTGTGGAAGTTCAGAGGAGACCAGGAGAAGAACAGGGGCATGTGGGCGAGTGGCAAAGGGAAGGAACCGTGGTCTTAGGTTGATGGTCAGCCTATTTCACGCCAAAATGAAACCAACACGGAAAGACCGCCTGGCTAACGCTGTTGTGGTGTGTGACAGACAACCGGTTACTTTACTTGTCCCTTGTACAGCAGGGAAATCTAAGAATGAAAAGATAAAGAGGCTGGGAAAGTTGAGTGTGTGGAGTCAGTCATACACGGATACCTTTCAAAGGTAACTGGGCCAGAACGAGATCATGTATTTATCTTTTCCATCTTCCCTCCCCTAATCCTCACTTACAAAGCTCTGAAGGTGCAGACTGCCAAGTGCAGGGAAATCACCTACACCCACGCCTTAGAAACAGTCAGCCACTGGTGTTCGGGGACTCTAGGAAAATCATCCTCTAATGGAGTATCAGTGTCCATGATTCTATGAAAACAACCCTGAATATCAAATTAAGATATTTGAGACTTGGTAAAACAGAAAATTAAAACTCAGATATTTTTAGGACTTGTAAAATTTCCCTATAATTGGAGGAGGAAAAGGCAGAAATATTAAATATGGGCATTTGTCCCTTCACTCCAAACAGTGATGTGTCATCAGGCCAGTGCTTGATAAAATATTAGAAAACGGTAGCTTTTAAAAATAAAGCACAGAAACAAATGGTAGCGAAAGGCATCTCTTATTCAAAAAAGATGGAGAAAACACAGATGAAGTGTTCCAAAAATACCAATAAAGAGGGAGAATAAGTATTTTGTCCCTATTATGCTATAACAACTGGCTACATCTGTCTTCTCTCATTACTTTCCATGACACAGAGTCTGAATTGCACTGAACAATCATTATATAGTGCTTGGAAATTAACACATACCATAGTTGTAAAATTAATACTTAATCTTCTCATCCTCAGGTAGAAAAAGAACAGAAATCAAGTAAGTACTTGAAATAATATTAATACAAAGCAAACATTACATGTAATGACAGTACAGGATAACAACTTCAACACCTTAAAAGATTTTATAAGATTGTGCTACTTCTTTTACATCTAAAGACTTGTATAGAAGAGTAAATAAAAATTAAATTACATTTGTATAAGAAAGTATTTTGAAAAAGATATTTGAACTGTCATACACAGAGTTCAAAAGTATATGACGAACTTTTTATTTTTGATTTATATAAATCCCAAAATGGTAAAATATATTATTTGGGGGAAAAAGAAGCTTTCATTAAATACAAACGTAATGGACTAAATAAATCACACTAACTAAAAAATAGTTCCTTTGAAAGCTTCCATAAAAAGTAAAGGCAGAATGGCACAAAGTTAGAAAAGCAGCATTTAAGGCAAACTAAAGAAGTAACCTTAATTAAAACAAAAGGCATACAATTCCATAAATAACAAAGTAACTCCATCTCAAAAGTTTCTCTATTACAGTTGGGGAAATGAGTGACAGTAGAAATAGGGGCTGCTGTCACAATTTACCTGGAAGCACTGAATGGTATTATTAAAAAAAAAAACCAAAATGTTTCTGATTTAAATACACTAGAATCATTTGTCCCTTAGCTGTCAAAAACCAATGAAAAAATACCAATGCTCAACATATACTAATACAAAATGCTAAAACTTATTTAGAAAACAGAATTTTTCAGACTATGTATAACATGTTAACCAAAAGAAAATGATGGATTCCGTTATTCTGGCCCATGTTAAAAATATGCATAGAAGTGTGCACCATCTCCCTATAAGGTGCCTAGGGTCCACAGTTGAGCACACCGCTCAGCCGCAGAACCGCGATCACGTGCACACACACAGTTTCAAAGACTGGTGTGGAAGAAATGAATCATGAATTGAAAGAAACCATGCTTTTAAGAACTATTCAGTAAACATGTTCTGACAAGTATTTCTTAAAAAAACAAAGTAATCAAGTATATCTTAGCGCTTAAATTTTCACCTTAAATTTGGTGTATCAAATTGTCCTATAAAAATATTTATATACTTTTTGAGGACCATGGTATGTGAAATTACATAATCATAAAAAGGATTTTTCTTCTCACCTACTGGAATGATACATGCCTTCCTAGGAAAAGAGAAACTGCAGCCTACAGGGAAATGATCAAAGGTGCCGGACTGATCAGAGCTGTCCCGTCTGAGAAGGAACCACCTTTCCTCCCCCAGCAAGCTCACCGTGGGCAAGCCGCCGTGTCCCGGGCGGGCGTCCTCACACGGCCCTGGGCGGCAGGCGCTGCTTGTACATGCCCGCGATCGCTTTGGCCGCGCTGTAGATCATCTGCCGCCGAGACATGCCCGTGAAGGTCATGTGCCAATCAGTCCGGCTGACGTTTAGTAAACTCTTTTCCAAGACTTCACCCACCGTCACCAAAAGGCCTGACCACCTCAGATTGTAGTCCTGGGGAGTTAGACTTTGAGCCTAAGGAAAAAAGAAATTGGTATTTTAATTTCATTAAAAAGTATCACTGGAAGTAGCTATAGGTGGTATTTCGAAATCTCTCAGGTTGCTTTTAATATAGATTATGACAAACCCTAAGACAGCTAAGCTGCCAACTGTATCTTTGAAGTTGTAAGGCTGCAAAAGAATCAAGACAATATTGCATGCATACACTTGGTTTAAAATGTCCACAGTAATCTCATTTTGTTCTTTAAATATAATCCAAGTCTTAAATCTAATGACTCCAACCTAAAAGAGCTCAGTGTCACAAGGTTTAAATTATAGTTCTACATTCAGCATCACTTCAGGTATAATAGTAAGATTAGTGCTAAAATAGGAATGTTACTTTCATCTCTTTAACAGTAATGAAATTCCTACCAGAAGGAGGTAAACTGCTTACTAACGCGTCAAGCCTATCAGAAAAGAACGGTTAAAATAATTTGTAGAAGAACATTCCTGGAAACTTCATTTACACGTGAATAAGACAATACAGATCAAACAGCATCCAGCCTAGGAGAGAGCGAGCACCAACCTCTGTCACGTCACTCACGCCTAACACAGCCTACGACTGCTGCCACTGAAATCATGTATTCACCTACCCAGGTGTGAGAGTCAGGCCACTGCTTGATATCCTAGAATGATGGAGGGCTTTTTGTTCTACAGCGTTAGGTCTAGTCCAGGGAGCTACCTGTATGCAGGATGGATATCCATGCAGTGATTCCCAAATGTGTGCTATACCTTATAATCACCCGAGATGCTTTTCTTTTCTTTCTTTTTTTTTTTAACAAAACCACAGTTTTCACGTCTCACCTCAGACCACTGAATTGAAAACTCAGAGATGGTTCCAAGAGAAAGAGCACAGTATTTATAAAATAGTTTCCAGGAAAATTTGCTGCCCATAGCCCAGCAGCTGGGGACCCTGCCCTCAGTCTTCTCTTCCACAACATACGCTGTGCTAGCAGCATCTTCCTATGTTTCAAAGAAGAGAGACAGCAGATAAAGCAAAGCACTCAGGTCCTCAGAGACACTCGCAGAACTGTATTTCTCAAATGTGATGTACACCAGGCACCTGAGGATCCTGTGAAATTGCAGATCCGAATTCTGTAGCCTTGGGTTAGGGCTCAGGAGTCTACTTAAAAAAAAAAAAAAAAAAAAAAACCAACAACAAAAAAACCCCAAACTAAATGGGCAATGCACAAATCCCTTTTTCCCAGTTTTGAGATGTAACTGACACACACCATTGTGTAAGTTTTAAGATGTACAGCATGATGGTTTCACTTACATTTATTGTGAAATGATTACTGTGATAATCATCTCATTTAGATACAATAAAATGAAGCAAAAAAAACACCCCAAAATAAAAAAGAAAACTTTTTTCCCTATGATGAGACCTGTTAGGATTTACCCCTTAACAACTGTCATATACATCACACAGCAGTGTTAACTCCCCATTCTACACATCATATCCCTAGTACTTATTTATCCTGTAACTGGAAGATTGTACCATTTGACCATCTTTCTGTTACCCCCCATTTTAATGCATTTTTAACAAGTTTTCAGGTGATAATTACGGTTCTAGGCCTAGGATTACACTTTTGAGAAACAAGATATTTAACATCAGCAAAAGTCCAGAAACTGGGTTTTGAATTGGGGGAGGAGGGATCATTAATATTTAAGTTTAACAAGCGTAAACTGTATAAACTTCCTGATTTTCACTAGTGTATGTGCTGATTGTAGGTACAATTCCCTTCAAGACTAATTTCTATTAAATAAAAAATTCCAACTATAAATTAGCAAGGAATCAAATATTTCCCAATGGATAAAAGAAACAGGAGAGCTGAGAGCAGGGGTAAGAGGAAGGCATCTCAGTACACACACACTTTTGTATCTTAATTTTGAACCTTGTGAAAAAAATAAAACAATGACAACAGAAAAATGGAAAACTAAAAAGCAAATGACACCCCTTGAACACCACTGTGCAGAGTTAAGCACATTAAAAGCCTGTTGTGTTTTTTCCAGGCCTTCCCCCTACCATTCATTTATATACATTTTAAGGTAAATATGTGTATGTGTATACACACACACACACAAAATTATGTATTAGTATACAGTTTTGATTAGTTTATATACTTTTTAAATTAAAGTATAGTTGATTTACAATGTTGTGTTAGTTTTTGGTGTACAGCAAAGTGATTCAGTTGTACACATAATTTTTCCCATATTCTTTTCCTTATAGGTTATTCCCTGTGCTGTACAGCAGAACCTTGTTGTCCGTCTATTTTATATATAGTAGTTTGTATCTGCTAATCCCAAACTTCTAATTCATCCCTCCCCGACTCCCTTTCCCCTTCAGTAACCAGAAGTTTATTCCCTATATCTGTGAGTTTATTTCTGTTTTGTAAAGTTTATTTGATCATTTTTTAGATTCCACATGTAAGTGATACCATATATTTGTCTTTCTGTCTGACTTACTTCACTTAGTATGATAATCTCTGGGTTCATCTACATTGCTGCAAATGGCATTTCATTATCTTTTTTGGCTGAGTAGTATTTCATCACACACTCACACACACACACACACACACACAGCGCCACCATTACTTTATCGAGTCATCTGTCGATGGACACAGCTTACTTCCATGCCTTGGCTATTGTAAATAGTGCTGCTATGAACACTGGGGTGCATGTATCTTTCAAATTAGTTTTCTCTGAATATATGGCCAGGAGTAGGATAATGGATCATATGGAAAGTCTATTTTTAATTTTTTAAGGAATCTCCATACTGTTCTCCAATGTGGCTGCACCAAACTACACTCCCACCAACAGTGTAGGAGGGTTCCCTTTTCACCACACCCTCTCCAGCATATACTGCTTGTGGACAATTCAGTGATGGGCATTCTGACCAGTGTGAGGTGATACCTCATTGCAATTCTGACCTACATTTCTCTGATAATTAGTGATAATGGGCATTTTTTTGAGTTTACTGACCATCTGTTATGTCTTCTTTGGACAAATATCTATTTAGGTCTTCTGCCGATTTTTTGCTTGGGTTTTTTTTGTTGTTGAGTTGTATGAGCTGTTTGTATATTCTGTAAATTAAGCCCTTGTCAGTCACATCGTTTGCAAATATTCTCCTATTCTGTAGGTTACCTTTTCGTTTGATGGTTTCCTTTGCTGTACAAAAGCTCCTAAGTTTTGATTAGGTCCCATTTGTTTATTTTTGCTTTTATTTCCATTGCCTTGGGAGTCTGCCCTAAGAAAGCATCGCTATGACTTATGTCAGAGAATGTTTTGCCTCTGTTCTCTTCTAGGTTTATGATGTCCTGGTCTTATGCTTAAGTCTTTGTTTTTGTAAAAGATCACTGACTTCATTAGGATTAAAGTGAAATGAAAAACTAGGTATCCTGATTTTAAATCATTATTCACTAACTAAATCTGACTAGACCTAATCTAATGCCAAGAATCACAGAATCTAATAGTAACTGAAAATTCATAATCAATTCCCCAAATTCTTCTGTTTTAGGCAAACTGCTACCTAGAAAAGGGAGAGAAGCTATTAATTCCAAACACTTTAAGCTCCCCACTGTTGCGGCCTTGCAAAGATGATAAGCTACCCAATTATGTCACTGCTTTATTCCTGTTTGTAACATTTGCATTTTAGGTGCTAAAAAAGTGGCATAAACAAATTTCAGTGCATTAGGAGAAATAGTAAACTGTAACAACAACAGAAAAATGTAAATCACAGCTACCTACGGATTTTTATGGACTATAAACCTAATTCCCATTTATAAAATGGACGCCAGCAATTTATGTATGAAATTATATATCCTTTGAAATTTTTTGCTTTATTTATTTATTTTTATTGAAGTATAGTCATTCACAGTGTGTTAATTTCTGGTTTTTTAGGACTCTCCTAAGTTTAGTTTTTTGAGGAATCTCCAAAATGTCCCAGTCATGCATACATATACATATGTTTGTTTTCAGATTCTTTTTCATCAAAGGTTATTACAAGATATTGAATGTAGTTCCCTGTGCTATACAGAAGAAATTTGTTTTTTAAATCTGTTTTTGTATATAGTGGCTACCATTTGCTAATCTCAAACTCCCAAATTTATCCCTTCCCACCCTGTTCCCCCAGTAACCATAAGATTGTTTAATAATGTCTGCGAGTCTGTTTCTGTTTTCTAAATGAGTTCATTAGCGTCCTCTTTTTTCTTTTAGATTGCGCATATAAGTGATATCACATGGTAATTTTCTTCCACTTTCTAGCTTACTTCATTTACACTGACTATCTCTATGTCTGTGTTGCTGCAGATGGCATTATTTTATTCTTCTTTATGGCTAAGTAGTATTCGATTGTATAAATATACTACAACTTCTTTATTCAGTAATCTGTCAATGGACATTTAGGTTGCTGCCATGTCTTGGCTATTGTCTATAGTGCTGCTGTGAACATTGGGGTGCATGTATCTTTTTGAGTAAGATTTCCTCTGGATATATGCCCAGGAGTGGGGTTGCTAGATCATATAGTAAGTCTATTTTTGGTGTTTGAGAATCTCCAAACTGTTTTCCATATTGGCTGCGCCAAACTTCATTCCCAGCAACAGTGTAGGAGGGTTCCCTTTTCTCCACATCCTCTCCAGCATTTATCATTAGTGGACTTTTGAATGATGGCCATTCTGACTGGTGTGAGGTGATACCTCACTGGAGTTTTGATTTGCATTTCTCTTATAATTTGTTCTCTGATAATTTTTTCATGTGTCTACTGACCATCTGTATGTCTTATTTGGAGAAATGTCTGTTTAGGTGTTCTGCCCATTTTTTCTTTCGTTTTCTGGGTTTTTTTTTCTGGTTTTATTAAGTTGCATGAGCTGCTTATATATTCTGAAAATTAAAACCTTTGTCAGTCTCACCTTTTGCAAATATTTTCTCCCATTCTGTAGGTTGTCTTTTTGTTTTGCTTAGGGTTTCCTTTGCTATGCAAAAGCTAAGTTTAATTATGTCCCATGTGTTTATTTGTTGCTTTATTTTTCCATTGCCTGGGTAGACTGTCCTAGGAGAACATTGCTGAGATTTATGTCAGAGAATGTTTTGCGTATGTTCTGTTAGGAGGTTTATCATGTCCTGTCTCATGTTTGTCTTTAAGCCATTCTGAGTTTATTTTCGTTCATAGTGTGAGGGAGTGTTCTAACTTCACTGATTTACATGCAGATGTCCAGTTTCCCAACACTACTTGGCGAAGACTCTTTTTTCTATTGTATATTTTTGCCTCTTTTGTCGAAGATTAATTGACTGTTAAGTCTTTGGGCTTATTTCTGGGCTCTTTCTGTTCCATTGATCCATATGTCTGTTTTTGTGCCAATACCACACTGTTTTGATTACTGTACGTCTGTAGTATTGTCTGAAGTCCGGGAGGGTTATGCCTCCAGCTTTATTCTTTTTCTTCAGTATCACTTTGGCAGTTCTTGGTCTTTTGTGGCTGATACAAATTTTAGGGTTATTTGTTCTAGTTCCCTGAAAAATATTGTGGGTAACTTGATAGGGATCACATTAAATCTGTAGATTGCTTTGGGTAGTATGGTCATCTTAACAATATTAATTCTTCCAATCCAGGAGCATGGAATATCCTTCCATTTCTTTAAATCATCTTTAATTTCCTTTATCAATGTTTTATAGTTCTCAGCATGTAAGTCTTTAACCTACTTGGTCAGGTTTATTCCTAAGTATTTTATCTTTAATATGATTTTAAAAGGGATTGTTTCGTTGCTTTCTTGTCCTGCTATGTCATTGTTGGTGTAAAAATATGCAACTGATTTCTGTATGTTAATCTTGTATCCTGCTACCATGCTGAATTCATTCACCAGCTCTTAGCAGTTTTTGTGTGGCGCCTTTAGGGCTTTCCATATACAGTATGATTTCATCTGCATATGACAATTTTACCTTTTCTGTTTGAATTTGGATCCTTTTTATTTTTCTTGTCTGACTAGTGTGGCTAGGACTTCCAAGACTATGTTGAATAGAAGTGGTGAGAGTGGGCATCCTTGGCTTGTTCCAGATTTTAGTGGGAAGGCTTTAGTTTTTCACTGCTTAGTATTATGCTGGCTGTGGGTTTGTCATAAAATAGCTTTTATGTTGAGATACGTTCCCTCTGTGCCCACTTTGGTAAGAGTTTTTATCATAAATTGGTGTTGATTTTATCAATTGCTTTTCCTGAATTTCTTGAGATGGTCTTGTGATTTTTGTCCTTTTGCTGAAGTGGTGTATCAGATCGATTGATTTGCTTATGTGGAACTATGCTTGTGACTCTAGGATGAATCCACCCTGATTGTGGTATGTATTTTTATGTGGTGTTGTGTACAGCCGGTTTGCTATTTTGTTGAGAACTTTTGCATTGGTATTCATCAAATATACTGCATTGTAATTTCCTTCTTTGGTTATGTCTTTGTCTGCTATTGGTATCTGGGTGATAGTGGCTTCAGAGAATGAGTTTGGGAGCGTCCCCCGCGCTTCAGTCTTTTCTAAGAGTTTGAGAAGGATCGGTATTAGTTCTTCATTGTATGTTTGGTAGAATTCTGCAGTGAAGCCATCTGGCCCTGGACTTTTGTTTTCAGGGAGGTTATTAAATTGCTGATTCTGTTTCACTTCTAGTGGCTAGTCTGTTCAAATGATCTATTTCCTCTTGATTCAGTTTTACTGGACTATATGTTTCTAGAAACTTGTCCATTTCTTCTAAGTTATCCAGTTTGTTGCCATAAAATTATTCAGAGTATTTGCTAATGGTTTTTGTTATCTCAGTGGTATCAGTTGTTATTTCCCCCTTTCATTTCTTATTTTGCTTATTTGGGTTCTCTCCCTAATTGTCTTGGTGAACCTGGCTAGAGTTTAATTTTGTTTACCCTTCCAAAAAACCAGCTCTTGGTTTTATTGATTTTTTTCCTACTATTTTTCTAATCTCTATTTTACTTATTTCCTCTTTGACCTTTTTTATTTCTTTCCTTCTGCTGACCTTAGGTTCTGTTTGTTCTTTTTCTAATTTTTTTAGGTGGTAGGTTGGGTTGTCTGAGATTTTTCTTGTTTCTTGAGGAAAGCCTATGTCACTGTGAACTTCCCTGTTAGGACTCTTTTACCTGCATCCCATTGATCCTCTGTGGTTGTGTTTTCACTGTCATTTGTCTCAAGGTATTTTTTAATTTCCTTTTTGATACCATTGTTGACCTATTAATTTTTTAGTAGTTTGTTTAATCTCTATTCACTTTTCTTTCTTTCACATTTCTCTTTCTGTGGTTGATTGCTAGTTTCATGCCACTGTGGTCATAAAAGATGCTTGAAATAATTTCTTTCCCCTTAAATTTGTTGAGGCTAGTTTTGTGTCTGAGTATGTGGCCTAGCCTAGAGAACAGTCCATGTGCACTTGGAAAGAATGTGTAGCCTGGTTTTTTTGGTTGTAATGTCCTGAAAATACCAAATTAAGTCTATCTGTTCTATCGTGTCATTTACGATCTCTGTTGCCTTAATGATTTTCTCTAGATGATGTGTCCAATGATGTGAGTGGGGGTTGAAGTCTCCTACCATTGTTCTGTTCTCATCAATAGTATATGTATTTTTGATGCTTTGTTATTTGAGTATAATGTCTATCTCTTTACAATATATATTTTTTAAATAAAATAATAATTGTCCTTTTGCAATGATCAGACAGACATCTAGAAAAGAGTCACCAAATTTTTCTGAAAAGGAGCTACACAGTAAGTATTTTAGGCTTCATGGGCCCAACAGTCTCTACTGTAAGTACTCAGTTCTGCTGTTGTAGTATAGAAGCAACCAGGAACAGTATGTAAACAAAAGGGTACAGGTGAGTTCTTTACAAAAAAAAAAGAAACTTCTTTACAAAAACAAGGGTCAGTCCAGATTTGGCTGCAAAGACATTTTTTGGAGGGAGCTGGTCCCTGATTTCAAGTAATGTTAAAAAGCGACAGTGACAGAAGCAGCCTTACAGTTACAAGGTTTCTAATGTATTATCATTAGATCTCATTTTTGCGTTTCCTTTCAAAGGTATACACGTACCCTTTAAATCTTAATTAGCTAGGAGTTATGAGCATGGTGGTTGTTTCTAGCAAATACTTTTCAACTCTATTGAAATCCTTTTTCTCTGTTAATCTGTTCATGTTTTCAACTACATTAACTGATTCACTTTTGTCTGAGCCATTTGGCCATTCCTGGGATAAATCCTTCTTGGTCAGAATATAATGTTTTTGATACCATGATTTATAATAAGTAGTACCTATCTCATCTTCGTCTCCAGTTTCTGGCACAGTGCTCACTTGGATTTCCTCCGGGCTAAGAGCCATAAAAAAGGTGTTTTGTTATGTTAATGAGGTGATTTTTGAAAAGCTCTCAGGTAGCCTAAGGATGGGGGTTGGTGGCCAAGGGACCCAGTCCTGTGACGACAGTAGGCACTTGCAGTCCCATTCACCACCCCATCTCACCCAACCTTTTGGGAGGGAGGAGGGCTGGAGGTAGAAATCAGTCGGGCCTGTGTAACAAAGCCTCCATAAAAATCCAAAAGGACAGGATTTGGGAACCTCCAAGCTGGTGAGCATGTGAAGATCCGAGGAGAGTGGGGCCCAGAGACAGCATGGAAGCTCCATGCCCTTTCTGTATACCCTGCCCTGTGCACCTCTTCCGTCTGGCTCTTCCTGAGTTATATCCTTTTTAATAAACCAGTGATCTAGTGAGTAAACAGATTTCTTGAGGAGGAGGAGGTATCTGGAACCCCCAAACTACAGCAAGTCGGTGAGATGCACAGGTAATAACCTGGGTTGGCTACTGGCATCTGAGGTAGGGGGCAGCCTCATGAGAAAATGAGCCATCAGCTGGGGCAGTAGCTGGACAGATTAATCAAAAGAAAGACTGACAAGAGGGCCAGTGTCCCTTGGCTCAACCCCTGAGGACCCAGAGACCTCTGCACAAGATGGGGTAAAACAGGAGTGGAGAAGGAGTCCCTTGTGCTGTGTTACCAAAGTCCACTGGTGAAGTCCTGACGTGTGCTACAATTAGACTGAAAGAAAGTAAAAATGTAAAGATTGACAGGATTATGAAAGTTGAATGTAACATAAATATTTACCTGGTTGGCTATGATGTCTGGCTGAGGAACACTTCCCTGCTTAGTGTTACAAAACCAAAGGCCACTGATGATGGAATTACAGTAAGTTTGTAGGAGAACTGGTACGTCTGAACAGGTTTTATGAGAAGTGACTGTTTTTTTCACCTGATTGTATTTTGGGGATGGACATTGTGTCTCACTAGAGCATGTTTCCCCCGTCCAGTATTGTAAAAGAAGAATGTAAATCCACCCTTCCAGCATGATTAACTGGGCGTGCGATATGGGAACCAGGCAGTAAAACTGCCCTGACCCACACAGTGCGGCAGGGAAGCTGGAGTGCTGGCGGGGGACACAGTTCTCTGCACCAGAGCCCTATGTGGGGCGCGGACTAAGGCTTACAGCAGAACTCTGTGAGCGCCTCCCAGCAATGACTACTTGGACTCTAAAGTGGAACTTCCACTGGAGGGGTGTTACTACCTAGCCATTGGACAGTATTAACTGAAGCTACTTCTATGATTGAAAGATGTGAAATTATCTTGAAATATGAAATACTCCTAATGTCTGGGACAATGTTGGAGAAACACCCTAATAGGGAAGGCAGTGCCCAGAAGAGTTTATAATCACATGGAAACGGTTTATAACAGGATAATGCTGCCAGGGGGAATACAAGGAGGTGAGCACAGTCTCTTTTCCTCTAGGACAGAGTCTGGGGTCACCTGAGGAGCTGCTGGAACTGAGTGCCCCATGCACAGTGCCGTATGAACAGCTCTCAAGCACAAAGAGCTGCTTGGTTTATGGATGGCAGTTCCAGGTGAATGGATAACATACCATCTGGAAGTCCACTACTCTGAATGACGAAGGTAAAAACAAATCAGCTCGGTAAGGCTGAACTGCAGGCTGTTTTCCCAGCAGTGGTGAAAGAACTGAACAGAGGTCAAGTCCCCTACCTCTGTTTTCTTCTGACTCATGGGCAGTGGCCGATGGTCTGGCCATACGGTCAGGCAGGAGGGCAGTGGAAACCTGGCCTATTAAAAGGATGCCCATATGCGCTCTACAGCCCTGTGGAATCGCTGTGGGAATTTGAGGACTGCATTGAAGTAGGACATGCTGATGCCCATCAGAGGAACTCCTTTCCGGGTTTAAAAGGTAAATGGAACTGACAAGCAGATATCCCCTGTGCTCCCTTAAGACGGCCTCGTGGGTCCATGAAGTGAGTGCATCTGGGGGCAGTGCAGCAACACAGGGATGGGCTGACTCTAGACCCATTCCTCTCGTACACTGAGGCACCACTTCTGACTGCCAGCAAAAAAAGACTGCAGATGGCTCCGTGGCATATTCCCAGTTGGGAAGGGCCTGAACATAGCTGGCAGATCAGCCTGATGCTGGAATCTCTGGGGGACAACAAACGGGTCTTCACAGAAAGAGACGCTGACTCTGGGCTGGGCTCTTCTTACCCAGTGGTAGACAAATGCAGAGCCCTGTAAGAGAGCTGGCACAGAGGACAGTGCACTCCTTTGCACAGCTGAGCAGCATTTCTTCAGAGTAAGGAACACAGCTTTACAGCCCATAATGTCCAAAAGCAGGCAGAGCACGCCCCTCAGAGGACTAGTCTGATAGAGGACTGGGAGGGGCACTGACACACGGGCTGTCTACAACAGGGGGAGACGAGGCATGAAGGGCTGGTTACAGGACTTCGGGAATGCATGCTCACACTTGGCGTGAGGGGCCTAGAGTGGTGTCTTCCCTGGACAGAGTCCCATGTTGTCCTGGGGGAAAGAATGCTAACAGGACTAAGCAATTCTTGCTAAGGGAGGAGAACACTAGTATAACAACTTTTTTCTTTCTTCCTCAGGTTGCCTGTACTTTTCCACCATGTGATTATATGACCAGACTTACAGATACAAGCACTGGAAACAGATGATTCCTCAGCCAACCGTAAGCATGCTTTTAATCTATAAGCAATCCTTGTTCGAAGAGCAGGGGGTGGACTGTGATACTGTGCTTTATAACAAGAAATATATATCTGGTCTTCAACACTAGTTTCTGGCACAGAGCTCCTAAGAGCCCTAATTAGAAAGCCCTCAAGTAACCTAAGTATGCAGGCTGGTTGCCAAAGGAACCAACCATGTGATTAGAAGGTTGGAAGCTTCAGTCCCACTTACTCCTCACCCAGGCCCCCCTCCACCTTTGGGGAGGGGACTGGAGGTCAAATCAATCACCAATTGCCACTGATTTAATCGGTTGCGCCCATCCAATCCAATGAGGCCTCCATAAAATCCCAAAAGGACAGGGCAGGGAGCTGTGCCCCCCTCTCCCCACACCTGCCCTGTGCATCTCTTCATCTGGCTGGGTTAGATATATAATAAACCTGCCATCCAGGGAGTAAGTGCGTTTCCTGAGTTCTGTGAGCTGCTCCAAGGAGAGGGTTACAGGAACATCTGATTTATAGGCAGGCACTCAGAAGTACAGGGTACGACCTAGACTTGTGACAGGCCAGGGGGAGGTGCACAGAGGCAGGGTCTTGTAGGGCTGAACCCTTAACATGTGGAATGTAACATTGTTTCTAGAAAGTATCAAAGATTATAGGATATACAGCTAATCAGAACCCTTTTTAATGTTCTTCTAATACATTTCAAAATTTTATTAATTTTGCCACTGATTTTGATATTTAGTGATTAAACGATACAATTTTTTTTTGTGTTAGGTGACAAGCTGGTCTCACAGAATAAAATAGGAAACTTTTCCATCTACCCATCAGAGCCTATGTACTTTGTAGATCTCACTTTTAACACCATTAGGGCTCTGATTTTTTTCTGGAGCTAGATGAAATCTTCCATCATAAAGCTTCAATAAAATACTTAGGTTGACTCATATGAAACTGCCAAAATTGGAATGGTTTTGACTTCAAAGACAGCAGTTCCATGTGGTTCAACCTAATGGTTTGAAACTGCCATTTTATGTAATTTTTCTAAATTACTGGTCTAACAGTATGCACAGTATTTGTTTACAATCTTTTAATCACCTTCATGTGGTGGACCACCTTCTCAGAGAGGCAGTAAAACAATAGGGAAGGAACAGAAAAGCAAAAAGTGAAGCAAAATCAAGAATATATCATTTCCAATTAAAAACTCTTATTTTGAAAATAGTATTGCAAGTTTCTCTGGAGATTATGAAAAAGAAAAGGATTAAAACTAACCTGCTGTACAAATTCCAAGGGTACTGGGGTGGCTTGTGTAAATGCTTCCAGATGAATGCCATGCACAGGGTCTTCAACTATCAGACAGCCGATGTCAAACCACCTGCAAAACAAGGTGTGACTTGCAAGTTGTTTATGTGCTAAGCAAGTCATAGTGAACAGATGAAGTACTGTCATGCACATAAAACATTAGATTAATTAGGAAAATATTCTTTTGAGGTTTTCAAGAGAACAATCCATAAAAACATTACCCTGTTGGCTTAATTCCAAGAGGCAGGAAAAGCAACAATGAAAAAAATTGAGTATTACATATTATGAAAAGTTCCTTTTCTTGCTAAGATTCGAGGAGAGGAAAGGGAACAGGAATATTCAAATACGCAACAGGTAAATTTACTCATTTGAAAATGCAAAGGCTCATCAGAAATAATATAAAATGTCACTTGTTAAAATATGGGAAATAGAAATTTTCATTATATATTTAGAATTATTACTAAATTATATTACCATCTCTATGATTAACATATAGCTGACTTGCAAAGTTACTAGCAAATCAAAAAATAAGCTAATTCAGGAAATAACAAATCCTCTCCTCATTTCCTGATAAATCCTCCTTATCATACTTTCTGAATTGTTCACAATGAATCACTCTTTGAAAACAGCTTCATGAAATCAAAGACACTTTTTCCATTTAAAGATACTCATATAAAAAAAAAGTGATAACACCCCCAGCATTTTACCTAAGGAGCATCAGGAAACCAGGAGATGCCCTGAAATCATGAGTTTAAATGAGAAGATGCAAAGCAAGAAAATTAAAAACCAACCACATCTATTAAAGTGTGACAATATATAATAATAAGGTTGCCAATCCACATTATATTTTAAGAACCAGCAAAACAATATATTGAGTAACAACTTTGCTGAGTGTTAAAACAGCAGTTTGTAATGTCTGTAGTATTCACATCCTCAAAGTTTGCTTCAAATTAAGAGCCTTAAATACCTATCTTACTAAGTGTAGGAATCTGTCCTGTATTTTCCATGCCCGCTGTGTTATGCAGGTGGTGGGGAGTAACTGCAGTGACGCGGCTCTCGGGCACGGCTTCCTGAGCAGCAGCCTCCCTGAAGGTACAGGCGTGTCTCCTACGAGGTCTGTGAACACACGTTAGAACGCCAAGGGCCCCTCTGCTAGCTCTTCAGGGCAGCCCACTCTCCTCAACTCAGCTGTAACCCTGCAGTCACGCCCACCCACACCTGGACTGCCGACGCAGGAAACTTTCCCTTCCTCTCCCTCCCCCCCTGCACCAGGAGGAAGAGCACTGGTCTCCACTGCTCACGTTCCAAGACAGTCACCGAGCATCTCTCTTGTCCTCCTGACCCTCCCTATGTGGCTGGGGAACTAAGGGGGACTTGAGCAATCCTACAAGGAGGCCCCTCTGACTTAAAGACTGAAGAAGAACTGTGGTTCCAAGATACTCAGATTTCATGTAGAAGAAAAAAAAGATAGAATCTGAGGAACTGAAACAGGTATGCCAATTTGTATTGTATCAGAGATAGACCAAGATTTTTCAACTTGTGAAGTGACAGTTCTTGCTTATACAGGTGTTCCATTTTGGTATATACATCATGTTAATGTTTCTCCCATGGCGTGAACTGATGCAAAGTTCATCACAGACAAATGGTCTATACTGGCTCAACTCTGTTAGGGGCCAACGACACTTGGGGTTTCTTTTTTTGGCTGACGCGCTCTTCCCTTATCTTAGTTATAAGCACGCGCTTCCCTGACTTTATCTTCGGTGCATTTATTGCCCATGGGAACCATATCAAGTGTTTTGGATCCTCAGTCCCTTATTATCACAGTGTTTCCATCCTTTCTCCTCCTTAATCCACACTAGAAACCATCAACAGACTTCCTAATAATGCTATATACTATTCATAATCTCCCTAACATGGCACTCTTCTGCCCAAAAGGTACCTGGGAGGAAAAATACCACATCTGCATATGATGGAGCAATTGATGGCAGATCAGTGCCCCCAGGGAAAGCTAGACAAGCACACAAGCCATATGTAAAGGCATCCAAGAGCTGTAACCGCAAGAAGGACAAAGTGGATGTAAAGGCATCCAAGAGCTGTAACCGCAAGAAGGACAAAGTGGAGTAACATTCTGGACAAGGACAACCTTTCAGAGGTAAGCTGGTCCAGGGAGGAGTTCACAGAAAAAACTAAGTGAACAGACTGCACAGAATAACACTAGTGCTGTTGAGGGAGTGCAAACTGCGTACACAACTAAGATACCAAACAATACTGAAAAGGTGAAGGGGGGTAAGTGGTATTAAAAGTATTTTCAGATTATTAAGTCATAATTTTTATTATAATGTAACACATGGAAAAAGGCACAATGGCCTCTCTAAGGTAACCCTTAAATGAGTATTGAAAGGCTAATAGAGGGACAAAATGAAATAATGATCACTGGAGGGTTCCTTGGTGCTTACACAAGTTACAAACTTGCCAACCCAGCATTCCAAGCTCTCCAGTCTGTCCGCGAGCTGCTGCTTCATTTCCTGTCCAGCAGTGTTCAGGCAAGCTGATAGAATCCGTTACCCAGAATGCATCTTAGTCAAATGTCCTACCTATTCATTTCCACTTAACCCTGTTTTACCCACTCTTCAAAACTCAGTTCAAGTCCCAAGCATTCATAAATCTTATCTGATGGTGTCTCCATTGAAAATGTATATAGCATATCCTATCAGTATGAATTTACAGTCATTTAAAACTGGTCACCTGTGCGTGTTTTCTCCCCCAGCTGGCCTGTAATACACCCTCTTTGTAGGTATACTATAGCTACCAAGTACTAGACAGAATATTATGAAAGATAAACTAACCACAAAACCACAGTGTAATTACAGGAATGTAGTTTTGATAACTGGAAAGTTGTTATTTTCACTATAAATCGACTCACAATATTAAGAAAGCCTCTGTTAAAAGTCCAATACCTCAAAAACAATGATGAATTTTCCACACTAAAAGCTGAAGTACTGCTCAACAGAACTCAAACCAGGTGAGTTCCTCCTAGCTTCCTCCTCCTGCATTAGAAAGACAGACGAACAGAGACACTAGCCCCCTCTTTGTCCTCTAGCACAGAGACACTAGTTGCCGCCGCCTCCTTCTCTTACTGGAGGTCAACATCCAAGCCACTGTATCATATTTAGTGCTGTTAAGTGACAGTTATCACAGTCTTAGAATGCAGGTATCACATGTCCATTTCACAATTAAAAAGGAGAGAGAAGAGCAGAAATGTGAGCTGAGCTGCACAGGCTACGTAGAGGATACAGCTGGACCAGCACATGACTTTCTCTTCTTTCTCATTCTAAAATAGGATATTTTCCTTACTAGATATATGAAGAAATGCATAAATTCCTGAAAACACACAGCCTCCTACGACTGAATCAAGAAGGAATACAAAATCTAAAACTGAGGACTTGTAAGGAGACTGACTCAGTCATCAAAAAACCTCCCAACACACCAAAGTCCAGCAGATGGCGTCACTGGTGAATTCTACCAAAGTTTGAGCATACCAATCTTTCAAAAATAGAAGATGGACACTTCCAGACTCACTTTGCAAGGCTAGCATTACCTTGATAGCAAAACCAGATGAGGACAGCACAGGAAAGAAAATGAAAGCCCAGTGTCTCTAGTGAGCAGAGATGTAAACTCCTCAACAGCATACCAGCAATGCTAGCAAGCTCCCTGCCATCAGCTGTAGCAGTGACTTTTTGGATTTGACACCAAAAGCAAAGGCAACTACATCAAAAAGCTTCTGCACAGCAAAGGAAACCATCAACAAAAGGATAAGGCAACCTATCAAATGGCAGAAAATATCTGTACATCATGACAAGGAGTTAATATACAAAAAAGAAATTCATACAACTCAACAGCAAAAACCAACCAATCCCATAAAAAAAATGAGAAGAGGATCTCAATAGCCTCCTTTTCCAAAGACATAGAAATGGCCAACAGGTCCATGGAAAGGCGCTCAGCAGCATCAGTCCTCCAGGGAAATGCAAATCAAAACCGCAGGGAGACAGTACCTCACGCTATTAGAATGGCTACAAGCGAAAAGACAAAAAATAACAAGTGTTGGTGGGAATGTAAACTGGTGCAGCCACTACGGAAGACAGTAAGCTGAACTACAAAATGATCCAGAGATTTCATTTCTTGGTCTCTATCTGAAGGAAACAAAATTACTATCTTGAAAAGATACATGTATCCTCATGGTCACTGCAGCATTATTTCCAACAGGTAAGACATGTATTTGTTGATGATAAAGAAAATGCAAATTATATATGCAGTGTGTGTGTGTGTATATATACACACACACAATAAAGTATAAATAGGGAGGAAATCCATTCCATTTCCAACAAATGGATGGACCTTGAGGGCATTATGCTAAGTGAAATAAGACAGACAGAGACAAATACCATATGATACCACTTCCATCTGGGGGTAAAAAAGTGAAATCGCATACACCAAGAACAGATTGGTGGTTGGAGAGGCAGCGTTGGAAGGGAGGGTAAAATGGATGAAAGGGATTAAAAGGTACCACCTTCCAATTATAAAATTAAAAAATCATTAGGATACAGTGTACAGCATGATGATGATAGTTAGTGATGCTTTTTATACATCTGAAAGGTGCTAAGAGCTGAGCTGCACAGGCTCTTGTCTTGAAAGTTTTCTTTACAAGAAAAAAATTCTAACTATGTTTAAAAAAATAAATCTTCTTACTTGTCAGGAAGCAGTTCTGCAATGAAGTTTTCTACTGACACGGCAGTCTGCTTTTCATGGATCACCCCAGTTCGACGCAAGCTATCAATCCGTTCCTGGGCACCCTGAGCAGCAAAAGTGTATGTTAGAAGCGGTTTCTATTCTAGTCAGTATTAAATATACTAATTTATGATTATATAAGTAATGCATGTATACATCTATACACTCACATATATACTCATTACAAACATTCAAACAAATGATATGATAGGACTGTTCAAAAAGCAAGATGAAAGTATTTCTGAATAAAACTACCCATGGATAATACATCTATTGTGGACACTACAAGGAAAAAGGGAGACCTGCTACGTAAGTTCAGAACCTGCTTATGGGATTCAAGGGCTATAACAATTTCAGTAATGGATTTAAATGTTAATACTGGGTTAAGAAGGTCTCTTTTAGGACTGACTACTCTTTTTGTGCTCCTGGCATGTGGTTCCTCCCTTGCCCCAATAATCAAAATCTCTTTGGGGTTTCTTTAACACGCCACTGTTATCTTCCTAATACTATAGAGCTGTCTAATCAAAAACCAGATTGGTGTATCAGTATGTAAAAACCCATTAGCTTCATACAGATAGGATTATCATCAGAATCATGGAAGAATGTAATGTATATAGTGATGTTCTCTTACTCACTTTTAATCCAGCTGCATAGCCCACTGGTTGTGGGGCAATATTGGACTGTCCAGCTTCCCCTATGACCATGGCTAAGCCGAAGACCTCCTGGAAGGCATCTCGGACGGCAGCAACTTTTACTTCTTTATTTGATGTCACTACAATATCCAGTTCACCTCCAGATTCTACAAAGACCAGAGGAAAATTTCAGTTCCATAGTAAAACAATGAAATTCTCTTAGTTACTATCATCCACTAACATTTTATTACATTATTACTACCATCCTCGCAAAACGATGCGAGATGTAGACTAACTTTTGTATTGGCTGACAAAACTTGAGGCAGATAAGGTCTCCCCTAGGGTCACACAGCTACTCAGCGGTGTCAGAACTCAAGCGAAGTCTGCATCTGTTCACTGCGCCACCTGGTGCACGCACACGTTTCCCCCTGTCATCTAACGGCATCTGAGTCTGTGACTTCTCAAGAAAAGCAGTTTGTACTGGGAAATATTTGGGCCTCGAAACAATGGTATGCTCGGTTATTATGAATATATGAACTGTATATGGTTGGGTCCAATTTCTAAATCCTTTGGCAGTTATGAACAGAATAAACAATTATAAATGGTACTTATCATTGCTATGTCTTCTTTGACATTTAGTAGACAGTAAACCACCAATAGTCACAAGTTGTGAAAAGTCACTTTTCAAAATGTTTAAAATCAGTGGAAAAGTACTGCCTTGTTATTGCTACTAAAAAATGTCACTTCTGCGTCCTAAAAAACAGTATATTTTGAATATGTATTAAGATGCAACATACTGTATATGTGAAGTTAAAGAATTCTAGGATGGGTGGGGGGAAATCGGAAGACACAGAAGTCTCTGGTCAGGGGCTCCCCCTCCCCCCACACTGAGTACACACTGATGTACGGAGCCATGCCAGGGTCCAACGTTGTGATCATGCTCTCCACAGAATGTTTGGTTTTATCAAGTACAGACTTCACCACAGGGTTCCCAGCCACACCCTGCAGAGAACAAACACACAAATACCCCTTCTGAGCAAAAACACCATGATAACCCGATACTGAAAGAAAAACTTTTGAAATTTCCAATAAATTGCAGACTCGTACTTTTGTAAAATTTAAGAAAAACGAGGTTATGGCAGCGTCAAAATTGCTGTGAAGTTTCAAAACACTCCCTTGGTGTATCATCATAGACTGACAGCAGTCTGCAGACCCCGCTTCAACTTGCACTGCCCTGAGAAGCATGCTTATTCTATCTATATATATGTTTATTTCATTTCTATGGATACATCTTTTCTTTCAATTACTATTTACATATACATACACGTATATATATACATACACAAGACTAGGCAAAACCTGTCCATCAACTTCCCAAATAAAGACTGTAATCAGATGTCTCCAAAGACCGTACTGTGTTCCCTAATGCAAAAAAGAAAACAGCAAAAACATTTCTCATCTTTATTCCCCAGAGTAGTTACTTAATTATATAATATATGTAATACTCTACTATGTTCTACTAAAGTTTCTTTTTTCCCACTTCCTATTTGTTTTGTTCCCAAATTCTCCCTTTTAATAAAGCCAGACCTATTCCTGTGAATTCTTAGAACCACACTGTTATCCAGGAGAAACCAGATCTGAGTCTTTCTTTCTTTCTATACTTCTCCCAGAGCAGTGCCTTCTGAGATGGCATCTGGCTTGACAGGTCATGATTCTACCTTTTCCAACAGACCATTAAACCAAGGTGACTCAGAAAAAAAGATGAGTTCATTAACACTGATGTTAAAGACTGTTGACCCATCTAATGCTGAATTTTAGAAGAGTTACTTACGGGGCCTGTAGAGTTAAACTGGGTATTACAACAGGTAAGTGACACGCTGACACGTGTTCTTAACAAGGAGAAGAAGTGACAGTCCCCAGATAAAGAAAACCTTTAAAAAGCACTAGAGGATGCAAGGAAGCAAGCTGAGAAAAACGCTCTTTCTGAAACAGAAAACTCAAACGCTGTAAATCAGTTAACCATCTACCAACTTAAAAGTACATTTAATATATAATTAAATAGCAGCCAGACTCAGCAGGGTACTGAGGGGCAGCTGACAAAGTGATTCCAAATTTCATTAAGAAAAATAAATGGAAAAGACCAGTAGAGAAAAATTCTGAAGAAAAAAAGAAATCAGCTAACTTACACAACCAAATGCTGATCTGTCTTTATAAATGCAGAGACTGACAACGACTGACCTTTCTGTCTCACTCATCAGTGATGCCCCTCATCCCCACCTCTGCAGAGTAGGCTTTCAATAACCATCAGTATCATAAATAAGCAGAATCACAATAATTAAAATGGAGTGGTACCACTGTGAAGACAAGCAGAACAGTGGAATCCAACACACAGCCCAGAAACTGACATTCACACACAACTGAGTAAGAGAACAGTGACGCATCGCGTCACTGGGATGTGACTTTGGAAGAGCTGATAAAGTGGCTAGAAAATTATTATGTGAGGCAAAAGTCACACTTAAAGTACCAGCTTCATCAAATTGGTAAATATAAAAAATTAAACTATAAGAAAACTAGATTAAATCACAAAATGATCATAAAACATAGTTGGTAAATGTCATTTTTATCATGTAAAAAACTGACAGAAATGACTTGAAATTTCAAAGCTTTGGTGTAAAAAGCATGATAAAATTAAAATGTCCGATAAAAATGGAGAAAACAAACATATTGAGAGCATATAATAAAACATTCTTACTATATTCAGAGCTCTTATGAATTCCTTGAAGACAAAAATCATCTCAATTCACACCTGGCAGAGAACACGAATACAGACTTCAAAAGAGACACAAATGGCTAGAAACCGCATTAAAAGACGTTATAACTCAGTAACAAAGACATGCAAAGTTAAATAGGTATTTTTTTCCCTATCAAATTAGAAAATGGTGTATTTCAATTAATAATCAGCACTGGCAAATGAAAGATGCTGGGAGAGTGTATCTTGGTATAACCTTTCTGGAGAGCAAGATGCAGTAATAACTCTTAAAATGCTCACTCTGACATTCCACTGACATACCTCTCAAACAGAGACACACATAAAGACCTACATACTAGAGTGCTCATCGTAACTGTATTGATAATTATGGCTAGAAAATGCCAGTAACGGATAAGTGAAATAAAACATGGGAAATAAATGCAATGACATGTAGGGCAAAGTAGCCATAAAGGAAACAAGTTCTGGAGGATATTTTATGGCTGAGATGTTCATAATACATGCTAGGTAATGACAATCAAGAGACACAAAATAGTGTCCACATGTCACTACTCCGATTTGATTTTTATTACAAAAGAGGCACACCTACACAGATATGCCCATCCACAAGACTGAGAGGAACTACAGAGGGAAAAAGTGTAATAAGAATAAAAAGCTATTTTATTTTTCCCTTGTACCATTTTTAATTTTCAACATTCTCTCCAAAGAAGACCTACTAGTTTTGTAATTAAAAAACTAAGCATGGTCTTTGAAGTAAATACCCCTTACCTTAATAAAACCCCAGAGTCCACCAGCTGACACCTCATCCTGACCTCGACCAATTCTAGGATCTTCTTGTTCCTCTGGAAAAGTAATGGCTGATGTGGTTCCAGTTCCCTGTGCCAGAGATGTCAAACCAGCTTGCTGAGTAATAGGAGGTGGCAAAATACCTAGTGAAAGGCAAAAATTTCAATATATGTACTGTACTCCGTAAATGATTTCCTATGAAAAGATACAACATATGAGGTAAGTAATTCAAAGCAGCTTTAATAATGTAACCATATACTCAGGCATTTCCACACTGAGTTATGTGCTCAAAGAATCACCTAAACCTTTATAAAATACAAATTATGCAAAACTCCAAAAAAGAAATTTCTTTCCCTCCTTATAGGTCTATATCAGATGTCCTGAAAATGGACAAAAAATATATACCCAAAAGTACTTCCTGTCTGTCCTGCATAGCAGTTGGATGTGGTCAACCATAGTCTGAATCTCCTTAATGCATGAAATTAACTGATGTGAGCACTCAAGCCCATCATATAAGCAGCTTGTAAAAACCAGCAAACATATCCACATACCCAATTTTAACTCAAAAAAGAAAACTGACACATACATATACATGAGTGTCATACATATACTCTGCAAAAATTTTTATTTAAGATAGTTAAGCCAAGTTGGATAATAAAAAAAACGCAACAGTTGTTTCTTTTCCTAAGATGAAAAAAAACAGGCAGAATATGACAAGGACGAAGTTTTCATACTGGTTTCCAGCAACCATTCCAGGGAAGCCAAAAAAGTAGGTGTAAGTGACCCAGAAAAGAAAATAGTCCAAAACCATCTGCTTGTGGCACAGACACTATTTACCTGACTAAATAAAACCACTTCCTGGACCACTGAGTCCTGGTAATTTTTTAAGTAAAGCTTTAAAAAAAAACTCAGACTTCACCTTGGTGTCCCTCTGTAAGTGCACAAAATGTTAGGACAGAAGTTTGGAGTTCTGACTGACGATCCATATACTACTTGTGTACTATGTTTTATACAATATAAACATCATATACTACATAGCATCAGCTTTATTTTAACAATTTATATGTGAATACGAAGCTCTGGAGATCTAGGAAAAGAGAATAAAATACTTTTTGCAGAGTAACTGGAACCCTCATACACTGCTGGTGATAAGAAACATGGTGGCAGCTGCTTTAGAAAATACTCCGGTAGTTTTTCAGAAGTCAGCAATTCTGTGCCTACATGTTCACCCAAGAGAAAGACAAACATGCCCACATAAAAACTTGTACATAGTGTTCATAGAAGCAGTATTTATAACAGCCAAAAAGTCGAAACAACCTAACACGTCATCAACTGATGACATGAATAAACAAAATGCAGTATATCCATATGGTGGAGGGTTATTCAGCCTTAAAAAGGGAGCTCTGACACATGCGACAACATGGGTCAATCTTGAAAATACCACACTAAGTGAAAGAAGCCAGACACAAAAGACTACGATTGTAGGATTCCATTTATAGGAAATGTCCAAACAGGTAAATTCAGAGACAAAAAGCAGAGTAGTGGTTCTCGGCTGTGAGGACTGGGAAGAAGTAGGCAGGGACTGCTCAAAGCTGTGGGGTATCTCTCAGGGCGATTTAAAAGGTTCTACAATCAACTGGCGATGGCTGCACAACTCAGTACATATGGCAACAACTCCTGAATTGTACACTTGAAAGGGGTGAACTGCATGGTACGTGAATTATATCTCAAAACTATTACTAAAAAAATACATCAGCTATAACCATTTTATTTCAAAGCATCGGTAAGAGAGAGAATTACCTGTTACTGGAGGTGCGGAAAACGACGGCATCAGGGGTGTCTGGGGAGCTCTTCCTGCATGTCCCCTTGTAATGTCGTAGGATGAACCCACGGAAAAGCCTGATGTGGGGGGACCCGAGGAGGGCGCAGCTAAGAGCGTGTTTGGGGCCGGGGCCGGAGGTGGGAAGTGCGATGGAGGAGGATTACTGAAGGCGGCAGCAGCAGACGGAGGAGGGACAGGAGGCGGGACAGAGGTGACAAGCGCTGGAGCAGAAGGCACGGGGGAAGGGGCCACAAAGGGCACCGTGGAAGAAGGCTTCACAGGAGGCAGGGACGGCTGCGGGGTGGAGGACGCGTGCGGCGGCAGGGGCTGCCCAGAGGACATGTTTGGAGAAGACAAAGAACTGGCTGCAGCTAGAAAAAAAGAGGAGGGAAAAAACACATAACTGGAAATGCTTTTCACTTAGTTTTCAAAGTATCTCATTACCTTCTCCTTGCAAAATTTTTAACAGCCCCTATCCCAAGAGTTATTTTAAAATGTGTCATTTAAAATGTATGAGTATGATTGAGTCAAATGACATTCAACTCCCATCAGCTATTTCCCTTCATCCTGGCAAAGATCAGAGAAGTTTTAACACACAGGCACACTTCATTTTACTATGCTTCACTTTACTAGGCTTCTTACAAACTGAAGGTTTGTGGCAACCCTACACTAAGCAAGGCTTTCGGCACCATTTTTCCAACAGCATTTGTTCTTTGTGTCTCTGTGTGATATTCTGGTAACTCTTGCAATATTTCAAACTGTTTATAATACGATATTTGTTACAGTCATCCGTGACCAGTGATTCCTGACGCTACTAATGCAAAAAGATACTAACTCTCTGAAGGCGTACATGATGGTTAGCAGTTTTTAACAATACTTTGGCAAAGGATTTTTTAATTAAGGTATGTACATTGCTCTTTTAGACATGATCTCTTGCACACTTAACAGACTACAGTATAGTGTAGTATATTTGCATATACACTGGGAAACCAAAAATTCATGTGTCTCGCTTTATTGCAATATTTGCTTCACTGTGGTGATCTGGAACCAAACCCACCTATCTCCGAGGTGGGCCTGTATGCTTTTTGTTTCCTGACTCTGAGAAAAGGTAACAGTACCTTGACCACCCTCAAACACAGATGCCACACAACTGCACGTACCTAGAGGGGCGGGGGAGGAAGACAGCGTGGCGGCGACCAGTCCTGCGGAACTGGGCAGAGGGGTCCCAGGGGGTGTGCTCTCTATTCCACTCTCTTCCATCATTTTCCTTCAGTTAGACTGTAAAAACAGCAAAATGTAGTAAGTGATGCACAGTCACAAAACTATGTTTTTAAAGCTTGTATATTTAGGAATAATTTTTTAAAATAATCAACAGATACATGTCTGTCTTTATAATTTATAATGCCACTTATTTCCAGATGAAGGGTCAGTCAAGATTCCTAAGAAAAGTCTGAGAATATATAATGTGCCAACAGTCTGAGCAGTTTCATATGTCTACTTTATCACTGGGAAATAATTTTCTGTTACCTATGTAATTAATTACCCAATATATATATTAAACAGTAAATTACTAATTTAATTTTGCCATTCAAGTGCATGTTAGATTTATATCTAGATTCCAGCTCCTATTACTTTTAAAATAAAAATAAATTATTTAAGGCATTTTTCCAATACTTCCTCTCGCCACATTAAGCAATGTATGTGGACTACTACTGTTAACAGTAAAAAACCAAAAAACAAAAACTTTTTACTGTGCTCAATTCCTAGGTTTTCCTAGTTCACATTCTAAAATGTATCCAGCAAAGGCTAAATGGTATCTCTCAGGTTTTAGAAGTTACCTAGATACCATTTTGTCCTAATGGATAAAAATGGACTGCAAAGTATGCAAAACCTCCTTAAAAATTACACATTTTCAAGCCTGCCTCAAGTATAAAATCAAAACTTCTAAATGTACCAAATTTGGTTTTGAAGTTTTACTCCTTTAACAAATACTCAGTGAAAGCCAACCACTTGCCAAGCACGATACTGGTGTCTCTGGAAATACAGCGTAAGCAGAAACAAACAGGACACTTACAGTCCACTACAGGCGACAATCATGTAGGAACACCAACATACAAAGAGCCATAGCCCAATGATGTGCTCTGAGGGTCAGAACACATCTGTTTGATACGAACATGATTTCAACTTGGGGTCAGAAAAGGGTTCCCCCCAAGGAGCTCACGTACAAACTGAAATCTGAGGGATGCTGAGAATTTAATTAGGCAAGGGAAAGAAGAGAAAAGGAGGGCACATGCCAGAAAAGTGAATATACAGAAGGTATAAAGGTCCTGTGAGGTTAAGGAAACATGACAGGTTCAAGACAATGCATGTGGCAAGGAGCAGAAAATAATGAGGACTGGAGACACGGGCAGGAGCCCAGACTGCGCTGAGATTTACAAGCCAAATTAAAGAGCTGGGTCTTTTAAGAACAGAAAGTCACTGTAGGGCATTCAAACTGGGGTAACATATTTGCCTTTTGTTTCAATTTATTGAAGAAATTTTATATTCACAAGAAGATGCCACAATATAGCAGACTTCAAGAATGTTGTAAACCCAGCTTCTTCCAGTAACAGCATCCTACATAACTGGAGCACCGTGAGCAAGCCCAGGAAATCAACACTGGTACAACACTAGGTACTATAGACTTTACTTGGATTTCACCTGTTTTTACATTCACGTGTGTGTTTGTAGTTCTATGAGGCTGCATCATATGCAGTGACTCATGCAGTTGCCACCAAGATCAGGATATAGAACTGTTCCATCACCCCAAGAAACTCCCATATGCTGCTCCTCTGTCACATCCTCTCATCAACCATAAGCTCTGGCAACCAACTGGTCTCCACCACTTTCTCTGTTACCTAAATGGAATCACACAGCATGTAACCTTTTGAGATTGGCTTTTCTCACTCAGCAGAATGGTCCTGAGATCCATCTAAGTTGTTGGATATATCAATGGTTGGTTCTTTTTTATTGTCGCATAGTATTCCATTTTATACATGTACCAGTTTGTTTATCCACGTATTTGTTGAAGGACATTCAGGTTGATTCCAGACATTAGCAACTCACATTTGTGTTTTAAAAAGATTCCTCTGACTACAGCATGTAGATTGGGCCACCACGCAGTCTGAGTAGATGCAGAGACTATTAAGAAGGATATGGTGAGGGCAAAAAAGATACAGAAGTAATTCGAATAATACCCTAGTCTAGTGACTCTCAAATGGGGGGTGGAGGAGGGTGATTCTGCCCCCACCCAAAGGTCATTTAGCAATGTCTGGAAACACTTTTGGTTGTCAGAACTAGGGGGTTTCATCGGCACGTAGTAGGTAAAGTCTGGTGATACTGCTAAAAATCCTACAATGCACAGGAAGGCCCCCACAAGAATTATCTGGCCCCAAATACCAATAATGCCAAGGCTGAAGAATTTCAGCCTAAAGTGATGACTATGGAGATGGAGAAGAGTGGACAGACTCAAGAAATGTTTAGGTGGTATTCAGTGATAGACTGAACATGGGGTCCAGGATGGGGAGAGGCATGACTTGCACAACTGGACAGATGGTGGTGCCACTCAGGAAGACAAGGAACACTGGAGAAGATCAAGGTGTGTGTCTGATGTCTGGGGGAGGAGGGATTATGCAGTATTTAATATTGGACACACAAAGTTCAAGATCCTTGAAACATGGAAGTACAGACATTGACTTGGTCAGCAGCTCAGAAACCACAGAAATGTGGGCTTCACCAGTTTACTGATAGTCTCTAATGTCATGTTCTGAAAAGGGGATTATCTAAGAAAAGAAAACCAAGTGAAAAAAGATGATGATCCAAACAAGCCTTGAAGAACAGCCAGGGAGAAAAAGCTTGCAGAGAAGAAGGAGACAGCAGAAAGACAGGAAGAAAACCAGGACACTGTGGTGTCCACAAGCCACAGAGGAGTGTTTCAAGGTAGAAAGAGGCAACAGTATCAAATGCTGCAGAGAAGCCAAACTGGACAGTGCATGAAAAATTCAATGGACTCCCAAACTGCAGAAACTCCATGGAATGAATGGGGACAGAAGCCAGCTTCAACTGGATTGAGGTGGGAGGTGAGGCAAACATGCACAACACTTTGAGAAAGTTTCACTGTAAATGTAGAAGAAAGATACGGCAATAAGTAGAAAATAGAGACCCAAGGAGGCAAAATCCTTTCATTCAATACCTACACAAAAAGGTACACAACCTTGGCCAGAAATGGCCTTCTGGGGACTTTATCAAACCCTGACAAAGCCACCTCTTTCACCTCCCTTCACTGGTTATTCATCTTCCTCCTATAGATGCTACCAAATCCTCACAGTGGTCACACTTCCCTCACAGGGGAAGTCAAATTTAATGATGAATGTTAATGAATGCATTTGCAAAACAACTTGTACAGTGAATACAACCCATAAAACGGAGTAATTGGTGGATTTCGTTCAGCCTTTAAAAGCTGTAATTTTTGAGAATAGGATTAATAACAGCAATGGGTAAATTGTGGATACATAAAAACATAATACCTTCTACTTTAAAAAAAAAGCTACGTTAAAATAACAGCGAAGTTTTAGAGTTAGTAAAAGGTTCTAGTGCTCAAGTCTCCGCACAAAAATATTAATGTATCAACTTTAAAGAAAAAGTGACAGAAATGGCTTGGAAAATTGAGTCCTCAGTCACTGGACAGACCCTGCTCTTCCAATCTGCTTGTGTCTTTCCCTTTCTGTTAAAAAGTGCGTGGCTATTTTTAAGGATACAAGAAATGGAACAATGAACCTTTGATAAACATAAAAGCTTATTAAAAGCAGCTACTATTGTTGACATACTACTGGTTCAAAAGACAGTCTCTCCTACCGCACAGTGAACACTGCTGCAGCAGGGCCTCAGTTTTGTCCCTACATTCCCAGATCTGACCCCAAAATAACTCCCAGAGTGTTCACTGATCAAACAGTGGCTGCACAGGGAAGAAAGACTGGAATGCCAAAATGTGTCATGTTCGCAGAAATGTACATGCTGTGTCTCTCAAAATAACTGCTTTGAATGACAAAAGCTCTCTTGGATTGGACAAATTCTGCCAATCTATGAGAACGGCTGTGCCACAAATTTGCCTGAAGCAGGTCCCAGGAATGAACAGAGACAACAGAGTGCAAAAGCCCTCTGGAGCAGCGCTAGGCGCGGATGGGGGAACCTACTGGAATAGAGGTTACTTCCCACCGCCAGTCCCGATTTGTTGACCTACGAGTCTCCTAGGCAGGAGCGGCCGAAATGCCGTTCCTGGAGACAGCGCCCCCCCCCCCCCAGGCTCTGCCACGTCTCCCGGCCAGGCTGGGCCAGGCTAAGGTCAATGGGCGCCCGCAGGCAGTCTCTCACCTCTCAGGAAGGTGGAGCCAAATGGCCTGGGACACCGGGGGGACCGGCGACAGGAGCAAAGCGCACAAGACCCCCGGGCCGCACCCACGGCGGGACAGCTTGCCCCACGAAGCGCACCGGTAACCCGGCCGCATCCGGCAGGCTCCCAGGGCCCGCGCCCGGACAGAACCCCCGCGGGGCTCCGGAACGACTCTGGCCT